CCGGCGTTGTTCTCTTCTAGCCTGATCCACGTCTGCTCCATATTGATTCTCGCCTGTCTCGACCGTTCCCTCTCGACTCGATCTCATGAACCCCATCTGCGATCATGTCAGCTGGAAATGATACCCCTCAGATCTTGGGGGGACCAGAAACAAGCTCTCGCACTTGGTGGCGCCTCCTTGGGGGGCTGTTTAGATTAGGTAGGAACATTGCAGAGGATGATTGGTCGGCGGTTTCGGGCCCAGAGAGTGAGGCTGTCGATACCGGGTTGGCCGTCGGGTCTGGGGAACAGCCGCACACTTCTCCCGGTATGACCAGTCTACAACTACCACAGATGGATAGATTCAGGACAACCGCTAACATGAGTTTCTTCGATAGATGACAGTGTTTCCGCCTCTCAACGCCGGCAGGATGACATCGCCTTGATGCCTCATCGATGGCGTGTGGAGCGTTGGAACTCAGACCAGGATCTCCAGTCGGCCACAGAGCTTTGGCTGGATGCCCTTCCATCGCGGTTCCATCTCCCTCAAGACATTCTTGGGCCCCTTCTAGGCAGAAGCAACGCCCATCATTCCGTAGTTCGCGATCACACGGGGCTTCTTGGATTCTGTGCGACATATACCATGAATGCAGATAACGCTGGGGACCTCGTCGGGTCTCTGGGAGTTCTCATCGTGAGGTCGACACATCGAGGCCGAGGGATTGGAAAGAGTCTCCACGACGAAGCGTTAGGGCGCTTACGCGAGCAGCACAAAGTGCGCTGTCTGCGACTTGGTTCGACCTTCCCCCGACTACTGATCGGCGTGCCATTCGACGAACCCTTCGTGGGATGGTTCCGAAGGCGGGGTTTGGCATATTGATGAGAGTAGGTCGGACTCGGCATCAAGAGCCTCGGACTGGCTTTTGAGGCTAAGCGGCTGGCAGGAGAAAAGAACCACATCGCCCGAAGACGCGACGCTGGAAGTCCAGATATTTCACCAGTTTGGGCTGAGGTTCTCGCCATGCAACAACAACATGTTCGAAGACGCACTTAGGCTCGTGGCCCAAGTCACCCGCGGGAAAGACCTTGGCTGGTATGCACAACTTCATACCCTCATCCACGGGCCTTATCTCGGGGCCAGACTGTTAGATTCAGCAGGCTGCTTGAAAGTTTGTTTAGCAGTCGCCTGGTTCGTCTCCTGTCACCCTTGAAGCAAGATATGAGAGACCTCCACGCCGACGTGGCCTCTCGCTGGGACTGCCAGAACTACTATGGATACGACAGATGGTTTGCCGGTCAACGCAACGGAGCCTCTGGCCTATCCAACCTCAACACGGAGTACATTCGTCGCTACAAGGAGGCTATTCCGTGGATTCAGGGCAGGATCGTCTCGAACTCTAGGTACCGCACTGATAACACCAAGTTCTGGGGTCAGTGTTCCTCCGATTTAAGAGGCTGGGAGTCGGAACACCTGTGCCCCGAAGGCCTGGCTGAGTACAGACACTGGCGACTGGTTCTCCAGGCCTTGCACACCACTCCATCGTTGCGAAGTTTTGCCTAGTATCTTTGCTGGACATTGCCTTATTCAAACCTTCCAGATGAATGATATGTCTCAGAGGCAACTACTTCCTTTATTCTCATGTTCCAATAGTGGCGACAAGACAACGTTCAGGAGTATCTCACTGCCAGCCAACATTACCCAAGTATGCGCGACCTATGAGCAGTAGATATTTTGCAAACAGGTGGAGTTAAGCATGCAAATCATTTGGCAAATTGCCAGTTCAACCAAATATCGCCCCGTGGCCGTCCAACTAATCAAATATCGGGGCAAACTTGCATTCCTATGAGAACTGCGTATGGGCCCCGGCTCCCCTGGAGGGCCAGCGATCAATCTGTTAAGCCTAACATGTTGAATAGGCCAATCCTAGCACCTTGTATCCTCCCTAGCCTTCGGGGAAGCAACTGAAGCAAGGGGAAGCTGCAACAAGGAGTGGACTGCACCACAAGAAACCAAAGGAGCGGGTGAGAGAGTGGGTTTGAGCACATCGTATGCTTATGGAAACCTCAACGCCCTGGCTTACTTCGCAGTGCCAATGTAGGCAAAGCATTCCTTGAAGGCCTTGGCCTCGAGACCGAAGAGACCGCCATGGTCAAGCATGGAGGCAGGGTACCATGTAGTCGGATCAATGCGCTCCAGGAGTCCCGGGTAGCTAGTCAAGCCGGTCGGCTCGGTGACGCCCCAAGGGTTGCGAAGAATGATGTACTGCTTGTGGCCGAGGACAGTGTAGCCGAGGACGGAATAGGCATGGTTGGCAACGATGTTGCTGCCGGTGTACACATCGCCGGTGGCGTAGGTCCAGGCCGTCATGGGGTTGATGGTCTTGAGGTTGACACAGTTGGAGCGGACCAGCCCGAGCAAGTCGTTGGCAGAGTGCTTCTCGGTAATGTAGTAATGGGTGTCGCGCCCGTTGATCTGGGCCATGGCCTTGACCGGATCGCCGCTGTGCGTCTGGGTGATGTCGGGCTGCTGAGAGGAGCTGCCGGTGATCCATTTGGCGAAGGCCTTCTCGTACAACGAGGGCCAGATGTCAGCTCCGTCGCTGGAGCGGCAGTACAGGGGCTCGTTGTTCGAGTTATTCATGGGGATCTCGTAGTTGACCTCCACAGTGTCGGTGCGGGCGTTGTTGTCGCCGCCCTTGTCGTGGAATTTGATAACGAGGCGCTTCTTCTCGTTCTTGTTCTGGTGGACGCGGGTCGAGCGGTTGATGGCAGAAGGGTCCGACCAGAAGACGGAGAAGAGGGCGGCAATCAGCCAGCTGTTGCTGGTACAACCCTGGATCGGGTCGTCGAAGCTGTGCATAGTGTTCCCGTTGACAATCTGGAACGTGGCAAGGTCGCCAATGACGCGCTTGCGGAACATCTGGAAGTAATAGTCGTACATGTCGCGCCACGAACCGTTCGGCGGCATCCAGTGGCCCTTTTGCATTCTGAAGGGAGTGACAAGCTCGTTGACGGTCATGGTCACCTCCCGGTTGGTGACCGTCTTGCCCAGAGAGTGCGCATCGATGATCAAGCGCAGCTTGCCATTCTGCATGCGAGCCATCTTCACACGGGCTTCACCCATGTCCTTCAGTCCAATCTTCTCGAGGTCCTTCAGCTGCTGGACCTCCGAGAGATCAGGGGTTTCGAGATCGTGCTCGTTTAGGATCTTCATGTCCTTCTCCGTCAGCTTCTCCGCTTTCCTATCTTTCTTGTTGAGCTTCAGTCCGGCAAAGAGCACGGAATCATGCTTCATATCGAAGAGTTCATCATATTCCGTCTGGAGGACACTGGCCAGGATCTTCGCCGAGGCCATCGTACGAGCCTCAATCTTTCGCCCAAGCAGGGCTTCGGCAAGGGCATATGGATTGACGGCACCCACTCTGACATCCTTGGGGGGGGCGTCAGCGTGCAGGCTCCGTCCTCCGGAGGAGAGCGTTGATGCCGGTTTCACATCGCCGAGCTCATCGTAGTCTGACTGGAAACTGTCAGAGCCAGGAGACATTTGCTTGTTGGCCTTGTGGCCAAGGATGGCTTCAACGAGTGCGGATGGGTCGACGACGAGGAGCTTGGAATTTTTGGACGAAGAATCAGAAGACGCAAATTGGATATCATCCATGTTGACGGCAGTTGCACGCATGTGATGAAGGGGAGATAGTGAATTGAACTTGGCAAGTGATTAGGCGGTTAAATGATAAGAGACGTCCTGTCTGAGGAGAAGGAAAGGAAAAGATCTTGAAGCTGGGTTGCTTCTGGGGACTTTATGCTTCTTCGCGGCTCGTTCTACACCGATGTTTTCCGGGCAGTAACGCATCATTGGTTCAGAATGAAGCTTCAACCGTGCAGATTTCCTCGTATCTATGACACATCTTGACTCAAACTTCTCTTATAATGGCGAGTGAGCGTTGCAGAAACGACCCGTGAAGTGTCGCCGAACCTCCTTACTGGATGGGATCTCTCTTGCTGGTACTGACATGTCAAATGAACCTATGGCCCAAGCGCTGTAACCGGCCAACAATTGCGTGGGTCTGGGAGATTCCTCAGATGCAACATGACGTACTTGGTATCAAGGGATCAACCGTTGTTAGCCGCCGTATAGTCGTGTGTTTGAAGTACTTAACTGAGCCAAGCTAGAGGAATGGCTACCAGTGCCACATATGAACGTGACACACTTCGCTCCTCACAACTTACATCGAAGCACTGAGCCAGGTATTCACCCGCTGTCTTTTACCGGGGCATGCCTATTCAATCTAAGCCCGCTGAGCGGCCGAGAGATTGCGGGGTGCCTGTTCTGTTGAATGATACTGTCGTTCGACATCATGGTACAAACCAGCCTGAGGACGCAGCACGCCTCCTACGACAGACTTACATCTCGGTATGCCCTAACCGTTGACCTTTCCCCGCACTGGGAGGCTGACAATGTGCCGTCCTTTCCAGAACTCATACCTCAGCATGTGAAAGCTGGGTCTTCGGTAAGTTAGAGTTGTGTAGCCCAGCTACTATGTAGGACCTTGTGTGGTCTGATGTCTGATAGCCTGCAGAGGGCACTCGTCAACGCAGGGGGCTTTCCGGGTTTATGATTGGAGACGAGCGTATGTGGACGAGCTAGTAAAGCTAGAATGGCTCCACAATGGTGCCGAATCGCTGGGAAACCTGGGGAATGCCGATCACCCCGGATGACTACGCATCACCCCGGCCTTACCCCTGCTCATGATGGAAGGGGGACATAAAGCAGCGATCCTCACATATCTTCCCCGATTCCTTTGAGGTTGATGAACCCATGCAGCTCCGAAATTAATCTTGACGGAGTGGCTCTCATCAAGAAGAGTTATCGTCGTGACTGGAGATCTGGGTGCCAGCCCAGAGGAGCTAAGGACTGGCGAGGTGTCCCAGGAGAGGACCACAGATATCTCGGTCTCCTGTTGATGAAAGCCTGTATTTTAAGTACGCAGACAATTTCGGATGTACGTTTGGTCAACCAGAACACACACACACACACACGCACACACACATTTAATCATGTCCGGTGGCTGCCAGCCAATAGGGCCACTATTTGCTCTGCACATTTCCGTTTCCCAAGCTTTGTCATGATCTCCTAAAAGCCCGTACAGCGTCTGTTTCCTGCTTTTGCCTCTTCCATTTACCGTCACTCTACGGTATCTCGTGTACAAGGATATCGACCAAGATCTTATATCCCACCTCTCTATGGACCTTGGATCCCATTTCGGGCTCTCATAAAAACTGCCGATCACAGAGATCCTCGCGGAAGCGTGGAACTCACAGAGCAGCTCTCCGGCACAATGCGACACCGGAAACCCGTCATACAAGAGAATTGTACTTTCCAGACTCCTCAGGAAGTGCTCGGTGGTCCCAAGCCAGCAGCTTCCGATGCATGACCTCCCAGCCGAAATCTGCTTCGAGGCCGCCGAAACATGGTGATATGTCAACTTCTGCCTACTCGGGGACCGGCGGAGCTCGAGCCGGAGCACCAGGCCACGCATCCGCTGATCAGCAAACTGGTTCTACATCCTTGGTATTCCTACGATGGCTGCAGACTGTGAGCGGGCCTTTGGTGCTGGACAGCTTACATTGACGTCGCAGATCCTATCGATGAAGGCGCAGACCATAGGAAAGTTGCAGCCGACGAGGAATTGGCTATGAAGCACGTGTGAGGGAACCGACTTGCATTGCTACCAAATGGGACCTGATGTACAAAGAAGACTCTGATGAGAAAGATAGAAGAAGTAGCCGGGAGTTTGCCTGGACGAGGGCCTTTGCCCCGAGGTCGTTACCGCTCCGCCCGTTACGCCTCTGTTGGAATAAATATTGACTTGCATAATGGGCAATCGACATGACGGTTTTTGAGCCAAGAGTCGATGCAAGTCGTGTGAAACAGATGTTTGCATTTCAATCGTCGGACGCTGTCCACATCCACTAGGACTTCGAGGCAGATTGCACTGCAGCAATGTCAGTGTTACCAGGAAAACTGCACCACTTGGAACATACTGTACCAGACTTCAGCTGCGCTGGACTGGGTTGAAGCCACAGCAGCCTCCCTCTTAAACCCCTGAATCTGCTCGTACTTTTGTGAGGGGCTTGCATCATTTAGCATTCGCAGGTCGATTGTCTCCTTCAATTTCCTTTTTGCTCTCTCAACGTCTCTCTGAGGCTGATTATGGCTCTGTAATTTCACCAGACAGCTTTTGTTCATGAGCATGCATATGGGTGGTTGGAACTTGAGAGAGATTACGTACAGAATGGGGAGCACGAGGGCTACGACGACGACGACGACGCCAACTGTCACCAAAGCCGGTATACGCGAATCTGGAGCTGAGGCGTCGTAGTCGTTCGGCGTCGTCGGGTTGCCTGCGATAACGCTCATGAGCTGTTAAGTGTTCGTTAATATCCTCGTGGCCAAATTCTGCCCGCGTTCGATGGATACAGTACACTGAACATAAATCGAGGGGTGCCTGATCAAATATCATGACAGATCGTAGCTCAGCCACGCCCGACAATCATACGATGCCCTTCGAGAATGCGCAAGAGCCTGCTATAGTAAAGTTTGCCACCGGGCTTCCGAAGCTTTATCACCTAAAGCGCCCTGTGGTTTTATGAGCAGTTGTTTCAACATGGAGATCGCCGCCCTTCATCAGGGCCAACGGGTTAGTTAATTGGTGGCTTGATCGGGCCATAGCCGCGATACTAGTACGCGGTGCCGGCACTGCGAATCAGTCCCAACCGGAATACCTAGGTGGCCCACTACGGCACTAGCTCTCGTAGGTTGGATGGTATGGTGGTCATTTCTTCCCCTTCGTTCGGCCGCAGACCCCCGCCCTCACGCCAACTATCGTCACATGTTCTAGCGATGGAGGCATCTCGACGTCCAAGGCAGAGGCGGCGTGGTTAACCGATCGGAAGGTTAACTGACAAACCGCGCGTCATGCAACCGACGCACTCTACTACGACACTTCCGGTAGATACGGGCCTGGCATCCGGCAAGTCCTATGCAGCTCGTCGTCTTGGAACCAGAGCAATCAAACGAGGCAACTCGTCTTGGCCACTGGCATTTCCACCCCTGCAAGCAGCTGGAATTCGAGCGAACCCGGACCATCCTCAATGTCAGGTCGATGAAACTTGAATTTGTGCCAAACAGGACGAATGTTTCCCCGCCGCCTAAGTACCCACCCGGCCAGGCACGGCCGCCGTAGCCTGAAGTCTAATTTGGCCCAGCAAATCAAACACGCCACAACACGCACGCCACTCAGATTCAAAGTTCACGTCAGTCTGTGAGCAAAGCCGCCCAACCCCACTCCGTGGCTTAGCATCAAGCCCTCCAAGTGTGGCTGCAAGCAGTCAACGAACAGGCTTGTGAAAGTGCCCTACACTCTCTGCCAGAGAAAAATCATCACTGGACGGAGGGAGTCCACACCATGCGCCCCGTTGGGTTTCGTTGCCCCGTACTCTATCTCCCTCCGCCTGGAAACTCCTGGTCAAGTTATACCGCTGGGGAATTACGCCCTGAAAGGATGTTGGCATAAACGGGGTCGTTGACAAGCATATTCTCTGGGAGACGCCATGCCGGAGAGCGGCAGCCGCGTTCGAGCTGGGTGTGTGTGGAAGGCAAAAACGGCTGGGCACCACGTTGGGGGAGCCAAGTTGTCCCAAAGGGGATTGGGAGTCAGTCCCGACCAACCAATTGGTCCGCTATGGCACAGCCCACGACTTCGCCGAGGATTTGCAGAACGAGCAACCGTGTACCATTCAATGCCCCTGTCAGGTACAACAAGGATTACTCGATGACAAGGGCCGCACGACATCCATCTGGTTACCCTCCTCAAGCGGGGAAAGGGGTTACATCACTGGGCCAAGCCAAGGGTTGGTACCCCGGTCGGGGCATCCCTCCAGCTCTCCCAGGGGCGCGAACCGATTTGCCCACTGGAGAGGCCAACGACGGCGGACTCGATCCCGTGGACTTGGCCACAGCCGCCCACAGGGTCGTTTCAGACCAACGCGACGGTTACAGGCCACGCTCTTTGCAAGGCACCATCTCTCATCAAAAACGAATGCAGGCCCTAATTTGCGAGGCACTCACATGTCGGAACGTGGATCAGTTACATGACGTGCCTAAAGGAGGTCTAGGTACATGCTGGCGATGTCTTTGGACTAAGAAATGCAGGAACGTGGGCAAATGTGCCACAGCTGGAAGTACCTAAGCAGCCTGGAAATTTCCAGGTGAGTACTCCTCCCGTCTCCATATGTTGGGCGTCTGGCATCACAATAGTCCACCGATCGGCATGGATGGCACCCGCATCTCCACGGAGGGAGCAGTGATCAACTAAACACAACGGTGAACCTGCCGGCCGGGACACACAGAGTCAAACTTAACCTTCGAGATGCAGCACCATGACCTCACCCCCATGGCAAGAGCCTTGAAATGGGGGGGTCGTGGCTGACGTGTTGTGTCGTCGAAGCATCGTCAACCCCTGGCACATGCGACCACGCCAGTGGCAAAGACGGACGCGAGACTATCTTCTCCCTCTACCAATCACCCTTAGGCAAGCCATAGTGGTGGCCTGAAGATGGCACACCCTGATCACCCTGTTGCCATACCATTCCTCGCCCCCGACTCACGGCTTTGGTCTGCTCTGGACATTTCGATTTTGCACCATCCCATCAGTGTTCCCATTCCAACTCTAGACGAACCTCTCTTTTTCTCGTCCGAGCTCTTCTCCTTCAAGTCACTGTTTGCATTGGACCATCTTGGCTTGTTAAACTTCTTGCCGGTTCCCTCAGCATCTCTCTAACTTGACTCCGACTCCCCGTGCAAGGGGATAGGTCCTACCTTACACGTTTCTAGTACAATGGAACTACCATTTGCTCCTTTCGTCGAGGCTGAGGATGGCTATTTTAAATATTCGTGTGATATTCTAACTTGACCGGCTTTCGAAGCCCTGGAACTATCACTATCCACTTGATCTTTTGTTGATAAGGCCCCAGACCCTGCATCCGTCGTGGGCATCCACACCAGAACATTACCGTAATTGCTCTTCCTCCGGGGAATCCAAGCGGCATCGACTTTAGATGCCGAGTTGGCGCTGACCTGACCGCTGCCCGGATATTGGACAACGATTTTGTTGTCCGTTGTTGGATGTGGTCATTCGTGGCCCATCCTAGCTTCGGGGCAAGATCAACCCAGCAAGCCAATGCTCCCGATGGTGACACCGTGCTCTCACCCGGGACTCAAAAAGGGCCACTATTACGATAGCAGTCAGTCTATTGACGGTGCATGGCCTCGGACAGAACGTGAAGGGGAAATTATCCCCTCTATTCGACAGGTGAGCTTACCGTCGCCCTTCATCGCCGACTCCCTCCCCTTCTTTTCCTGAGAGAAGTCATGCTTACTCCATATCCAGGTCTTTCCGGAGATTCACTTTCGAGGGCAGGATGACCCCTCGAGGAGAGCGTCTACGACGTCTTCTCCCACAGCAGCTAATTCTGCTGCCGCAACGACTGTCGAGTGCTCTCGCTCCCGAAACTCGAACAAATGTCAGAAGCCACGGCTTTACGAGACGACACATCCAGCGCTTCCTTAGCGGCAGCCTTTGTCAACACCTTCTGGGCCTTCCCTCGAGGGTGGCGCACCGCGAACGAGTCCACAGGTTACGCAGGCTCGGCTGGTTCCTATATTGCCGCCAGGGCTCATGGAAGCACATGATCGCCAGGACGTGTGTCCCGTTGCACCCGGCCAGGTGCAAATGGCTGCTTCCGACCTAGACCATATGCACCACGACAGAATGATGTCAACTAAAGACTTCCAACTGACGCGGCCAGCATCTTTATGTTCTACCAAACTGCTGGTTGAATCGGCGCCGTCGTACGTGGTAAAGGAGGGACATCCGCACAGATACGAGCATCCCACTCGAGCTCAGTCCTCGTCTCTGGGGTCTACTCAGCGCCTCGACCTTAGTAAGGGCAAGTCACGGTCTATAGGCCCTAGGATTGCCCAGGAGCATGAATCGGGTTCGGGTGGAAGCAATAGAAGTAGCTAAACCATTGAGAAGGCACGAAGAGAGTCACCAAGGTGAATTCGCCGCAACTGGAGCGCAAGAGAGCCAACGACAGGAAGGTCCAACGAGCTAGGCGGACGAAGACAAAGGAACACATCGGGAGACTCGAGCGAGAGATTGCGGTGCTCAAGGGCAAGGGCAGCCGCGAGAGGGTCGTCCAGGAGCTCCTGCGGAAGAACCGGGCCTTGGAAGACGAACTATTTCGGTGCAAGGAAACTATGAGACAGGCAGTAAGGCCTCCTAGCCCGGCTCAGGGAACGAGTTTCCCGCCGTGACGGGCGGTGTTCATCGACAGTCCCAATGTACGATATCCTACGTTCTGCGAGCGCCGTGGCATGTTCATTGCTATTTACCACGCCTTCTGGCCATCCATGCATCGTCTCTTTCTTTTATCCTCTTCTGTTGAACTACATCTGTACCAACCACGGGCGCTGCCTACATTCATGTTGCTCGGGGCTTAATAATCCATCCCCGTCGCCTCCACTGCCGCGACCTTTGCTGACCACCCAAGGCTGATGCCTGTTTGCTGTACTCATTCTTTAATGACGCCGAGAACCCTGAGCGGCCGTTTAGTTGTGCGTCGGCGTGTCACCCTCGACCTTGAACTCCGGTTCGGACCATCTCCGTTGTGCCGCGCTACCAAATTGGCAGGCTCGCTGTTCGTCTTGTGTGACTGTGACAAAGCGGTGTGGACATTCACGTCGTCGGCGATATGCACTCGGATAAGGTGCAGAGGACTGGAGAGCACGTCCCAGAGGATTGCCAGGCACCCGCCATGGTCCGGTGTTGTCACGTCCGGCGGCGTGTACCGGATGCTGACTCGGAAGGCATTTGTGGAAGGGGGAACGGCGACTAGGCTTGATAAGCGGGGCAATAGGCCCTTGTTGTTCGTCTTTGGGCAGTCCAGGAACACCACAATGACTCGCGCTGCGTGTTCCACAAGCAAGATCTCCAGCTCCCCAAGGGCAGCGTCTCCAAGAGGATTATCCCCGATTCGCCGAAACCCGCGTAAGATTGCCTGAAGCAAACCCAGCCGGCGCACTTTGCGCGTCCCAGGACAAGATGTAGTAAAGATAGGATCGAAGGCCGCAGCAAGGTACACAGCGTCGATAGGAGAAGTTGCCGATGACACGATGACGGAGCCGCCTTGAGGCAGGCGCCAGGATGGCTGTTGGGCTACCGAGCCACGTCTAACGCCATCGATTTGTAGGTCCGTCCACCACGTGCCGGAGATACCCATCAGTATGAATAAAGCAAGCTTCTTAACAACGGAGCCACTTGGGAACCATTGCAGTAGTATCCCGTAGGCGGCGATGGTAATGAAGATGAGGGGCAAGCGGGTAACAAGGAGAAGGACTTGCAAGATGAGTGAGAAGACGGAGGAAAAGAAGTTGACCGCGAATAGTGAAAAGACCAGGCAGGCCGAGAACATGCCCTGCTCAATAATGTTGTTGGAAACCAAAGCTGGCTTGACGGCCATATTGGGACGATGTTGTTACGGATATTGTAGGATCAGGCCCTGTCCATCATTCAGGGCGGTAAGTGACTGTCAGTACCAGGGGTAAGTTGGGGTAGCGCCATAGTCAAGGGGTGGGTTGGGTAAACCCCTGTCGGGTCGAGTGACGGTCATTACCATGACGGTCATTACCACAGGGGTCTGGGGTGCGGCTGGACCCCTAATCGTATTTTGAACCTAACCTTAGCCCTCAGCTAACCCTACCCTATGCCGTGTCTCCCTCCCCTCTCATTAAATAACCCATGATACATACCGCGGCCTAGAACGGGCTCGCAACCCTAACGGCGAAAAGCCGTCGTAGTTGCTAGTTATTACGCGTAGAATAGAAAATACAGCTCATACATACACTACCTAACTCTTCGATCTGACAGTCCAGTTGTGATTAAAGGACTATTTAGCGATGGCGATACACTACGAGGCTGACGCTGGTCGCACCGGGGGCCAGGTCGGTCTGCTGAGCTGGCCTGCGGCTGACGCCAGTAGCCAGGAGCATCGCGTCCTCCTCTGCGTCTCGTGCAGGATCGGGATCCGGCCGGATGACGGCATACAACTGCACTTCTGGCGGACGCACCGTGTCAAGGGCGAGGCACTACGCCAGATCGTCGACTACAGCTACGCCGCCGAGCCGATCGCGAACCCGCACACTGGACCAGTGCCAGCCGACGGATCACCATGTATAGAGCAGCTGCCGGTCTTAGACGGCTTCAGCTGCTCGGACTGCCGCTTCCTAACGACGAGCCGGAAGCTAATCAGGGTCCACCGCTCGCAAGGCAGGACACGACCAGGCGACCAGCGGCCGTGGCGGTAACAGTGGCTGGAGCGAGGTACGGCTCCAGACCCTGTCTCCGGGGAGCCATGCCCGGTACTGGGCAGTCGAGCCAGGACCTATCAGAACGGCCAGCCCAGGCGCATCTGGTCCTACTTCTACTTCCTCGAAGCGCGTATTATTCGAACGCCTCGCAAGATACGAAGTAAGCCTAGCTACGGAGCTAGAGGAGACACGGCGTACGGTCGATAGCCGGCGGGGGCCTGACTTTGAGTCGGCCTGGGTCCGCGAGATGGGCTGGGCAAGACACTTAGCCGGCAGCGATATGGGCGAGCACCTACAGGCGAGCCTGACTGCTCTATCTGCTACGGCGTGTGCTAGGCTCCGAAGTGAGGCAGAGATTATTGAGCAGCAGCGACTTGTCCGGCTTGGAGCTAGCTTTGACCGGCAGATTGGGAAAGGGATCGAGCGGGTCGCACAGGTACCAAACGAGGTGCTCCGATACCTCGCGAGTGTAGATCCTAACCGCCCAGCAGGCGCCCCGTTCAAGACGGAGAACGGTCAGGACACGAAGGACCGGTACCAGGTCTACTGGAAGCGCTACCTCTGCTACTGCGTCCGGGTCGGGCGGCTCGGCCGGGAAGTGGCGACGGAGAGGTTTCGGATCCGGTTCAACGACGCCCAGTGGGCTGCACTTGAGGAAATCATCCGGAAACTAGATAGTAGCGAGAAGAGCGGCCAGGATAACGACAGCGATGGCGCCTCTCCAGCCTCATCGACCGACATCGGGTCTGAAGAGCCAGCTACTCCAGGGAGCGAAGAAGACGAGAAAGACGACCGAATCGGGGACCCGATAGACCAGGCCGTAATGGCTTTCTGCATCCGGTCGCTCCAGCAGAAGGTTGCCGTCCAATTATTCGATAACCCGCTCCTACACTTTACATGCGTACTCGGGATCAGCGGTGGCCGGAAGAGCTACGCCTGGCGGCCGGCCACCGAATACACAACCCAGATAGCAGGGCTTGTCTGGTGCGCGCGTCTCCTCCTGCTAGAGCATATATTCGGAGCCGAGGAATGTAGCGAGGATATCGGTCCGGAAGCTATCGAGTACTTTCTGGCGCAGCACCGCGACTGGCTCGCCGATGGCTCGTTCTCGCCCTTTAGCGCGATGATCCGGATGATGGCATACGGGAAGGGCTTCCGCAAGAAGGAGGGCGGCACGCCACGACTTATGTGGGAGGACAGCAAGGAGGCACTACGATATCTTGGCCAGCGCATCCCGCTCAACGACTTTCGGGTTATGGCGGCTAGCATTAGTACGGATGCCGAGGAGCTTCTAGATCAGCTTATGTTCGGAGAGTGGGTTCCGCTTAGCCAGATCGTCGTGCTCCGACGGATCACGGACAGCCTCAGCTTCGAGGGACCCGGGGCGTCATTTGCTACGCATGAGAAGAACAGCTGGCTCGAGCCCGGCTTCCGCAAGCTCGTCGGTCCAGGTATTGCTCAGCTCTGGGACGACGAAGTAGGAAACTTCCGTATGGCTCAGGTCCAGCAGTGGCTCAACCAGCTCCAGTCATTCCGCCAGGCTCTACTCGTCAGTACCCACACGTGGGGAGGTCAGCCCGGCAGAGGGCCAGAGATCATGACGATCCGGCACTGCGACACGCAGGATATGCTCCGGAATGTCTTTGTGTTCGACGGCCAGGTAATGCTAGTTACAGACCGCGACAAGGCCAAGGCTATCCGCGGAATCGGCCGCAAGGTTGCACGGTTCTTACCAGAGACGGTTGGCCGACTAATGGTTGCCTATATCCTATGGATCCTACGGCGGATCTACTGTATTATTCCACGGGGGATTTAGCTCTACATCCCCGGGTTCCACACGCCCCACATGTCCGACAGCATCCCTGCATATCGTGAAGTCTCTCTCATTCTCTTCATAGACATGTCATGTCCTACGAAACGTCTGTGCGCATTAGAGGTACGCGTCATTCCAACCCTTTTTCCGCGGATTTAGTCTGAGTTCCTTACCCCAGATTTCCCTTCTTTTCCCAGTAACCCACGATCCACCGACAATCCACAATACAAACAGCAGCAGAACAGCCTGCAGTAATACGATGCGATGCGGAACCACGTACCGACCAACTCAGCAACGACGCCGGAAGGCCACAAGGATCCCGACCCCCGTTTTCACATACCTTCAGCTTTACGCCGATCCAAATACAATGTCCTGATCTGCCGCAGACCCGATTGTCGACACGCGATTTCCCCACATGGAGCCCAGGTCACCGCACACCTGTGGAATAAGCAGTGTATCCCTCTAGCCGAGCGCTTAGGACTTCCCAGAGCATATACGCGATCACTACTCTTCAGGCTTCCGCAATCCTACAGAGGCAGCTCTGCCGCCGTCTAGTTCCAGGCCCCATCCGCATCTCCAGACCTACGATGGCTTCAGCTGCCGCAAATGCGTCTTCTTGACAATAAGCTTCCATGAGCTTACGAGGCATATCTCGCAGAGCCACCTCGACGGGCAAACCGCGACCCGACCGCGGATTGGCCTACTCTACGACGATGTCTACCTACAGTCTTGGGGAGGCGGCCCGAATCGACGATATTGGACTGTAACCGATGCAGATGGGAAAACAGGTCGTCTAGTCCCTGGCCGCGTAGCAAAACAACCCCCCCCCCCCCCGAGACGCCCGAACGACCTGTTTTCTCGGGGTACGATTCGACAAGGAAAGACCCAAACGATAGACGGACTGCTATCTCTCAGAGCAAGCCATGGCTAGACCGGACGGGATGGCAGCAGATCTTCGAGGGCGCCAACTGTGCAGTGCTGAAGGCCCTCACAGCTATACCCTGCAATCCACCCACAAGACTCCTTCACCTTGGAAGAGGACTATATCCTACAACCACTCCCTACATTAGTATTCGAGCAGACGAGATAAAGATATCCGGGCTCGTTACTATGGTCGACTGGGTACTTTTTCGCTGTGAGCAGACAGCCCGCGAAACTTCTCGTGCAGTCCTCTGCTGGTTCCGAAGCCTCCCACCCAGACAAGATCCATCCCAAGCCACTTACACTAGTATCGGCAAGGTCGAGCCGACAGAAGTATCCCAAGACCTTCCAGCGTTTCATCGCCTTCATCTTCCGTACCTACCGCCTACCAAGCTTCCAACGACAAGACCTTCTCCCCGTCCGATTTAATTCGGAGCAGCAGCAGCTACTTGGTACTATCTGGTCCCACGAAGCTTGGAACGAGGAACAGCTCCTTCGGTGGATCCTAGCTGGAAAGCCCGCTCGTCAGCTGCGGCCGACAGCTAAGGAAGAACGGCCTACTCCAACACCGAGTAATAGGGAACAGAAACAGTCCGTCTCAAAACCCTTAGCCAAACGTCTGTCGAGAAAACGCTCGTTTAACTACTATCGGCAAGACACCAAGTCGGACTCCCAACGAGATACCACTAAGATACGTCGGGACGACGAAGACGACGAGGACGATAATAAGAGCGGCCACTCCGACGAAGATGTCAGCGACTCGGAGCTCAGCGACGGACAAAGCGAGACAACAGACAAGGTCCAAGACGCAAGTACACTGCAGAATCAAGTGATCGTCCTCAGCCCAGCACTGAGCCAGCTTCTCGAATTGCTATTCAAGCTGTGTATTACATTCTGTACCGAAGACTTCGCCGACGGCCATCCCAGCTCAACCCATCTCGTGTACTTCAGTGGTATTCTTAGCATCAACCCAGACGGCAGAGACTTTCGCACAGCAAAGCTTTATGCACCATTCCTTTCAGCCTTGATCTACAACCAGCGACTTCTCTTCCTAGAATATGCCCTACCTCTTCGAGCATATGAGCATATCGGGATTCCCCGGCGACCGCGACATCGGCAATTCGAGCGGCTCGATACAGTACGGCATAGGTATATGCTTACTAAGTCGATGACGCCCCTGACCGAGATGCTAAGCCTTCGTGACTACGGAAGAGTGATTGCTAGGACAGACACCCCGTCATTCTTTCTCCACTGGAGGGACGATCTCCAAACGGTATCATACGGGGACTCATTTACCATCACTATGGACACCTTCCGACAGTTATCAGAGCACTTCATCGGGCACGCAGAGGAGCTCTGCGAGCAGCTCATGCTTGGTCTCCAGGTGGACGTTCATCTTGAGAGAGTCAAAGACGACCTCGTCAATACGTTCAGTTTCATCAGCCACCCGCATAACAAACTGTCCCACGCCTATGCCCAGCTACTTAAACAGGCCTGCACTCCGTATTCCGGACCGTTCGACGAGAGCCACGGGGCATGGAAAGCTACCGCAGTTGCCTGCTACCAGAAGACAGCAGAGAGGCTGCTCGAGTTCCTTGCAGGTTGTTTCCATACGACAAGCGGCCAGACTGGTCGGTCATCGGAGCTCTTCAGCCTTACATACCAGAACAGCGCTTTCGGTGAACGCGGACTATACATCCACAATGGCTCAGTCATGACGCTCACACGGCATCACAAAGCAAAGCGTTCAACCAATCGAGAATTCAACGTTGTACGCTTCCTTCCTCTCCGAGTCGGCCGGGTTATATTTCGATACCTTGTCTACATCCGTCCTTTCCTTACAACGCATGGTAAAGGGCCGGTCTCCAGCCAGAGATCGTTATCAGGGCATATTGTCTCGCCGCCCCTACTCTTCAGCTCGGGAGTAGACAGATCAAAGCCTTGGGAGGCGTCAAAGCTCGCGGCTATCTTTAAGAAGGCGACATCCGTCTGCTGGGATACCTGTGTTAATCCTCAGATATACCGACAAATCGCTATTGGTATTACCGAGAAGCAAGTCATCGAGATTGCTACGCCATTCAACCGGTATGACGACCTTGGCCCGAATGCGAGCATCAATGCCGTCTTTGCCTGGCAGAGCAGCCATGGCCCTATTCAGCGCGCAACTACATACGGACTCGACGGAGCTTTCCCTTCGCAACTTCAGCCAGCCGCTATCCGCATCTATGAGTGGGCGTCCTTTCGCTGGCACGAGTTCTTACATCAACCGAGTCGACGAATGCCTCCAAACACCCGCTCGTCGTACGACGAGCTACGACCGCTTGTTAGTAAGCAGCAGGACCGCCCTCAGCTGGAGGGTTTGCAAGACCAAGACCTAGGAACAAACGAAGACAATATTGAGACTGAGGCGACAGTACGAGCGATGATCCGTCCACCAACCCGTCCACCAATTCAACCGGTTGATAAACTGGTTTATATCGACACGACCCGCAACGTTACTATCTGTCTCCTCTGCCGGCTGGGAATTAAACCAGGTAACGGTACTGTTGTACATTTCCGGGGCAGACACAGTATGAAGGGAGATGAGCTACAGGACATTCGCAGAATTTGTTTCCAACCTACGCTTGTCGATCCATTTAGCATTCCGGTCCCGGACGACAATACTTCACCATTGGACTATTTACCGATCTTGAGAGGGTTTAGCTGTACAGGTTGCCGCTTCCTAACAATCTCCAATAAGAACATACGTAAGCACTGGAGAGCGACGCATTGGAAGGGGATACAGTTTGACGTGGTACCCGACGATATATATAGCACTGTACAGTTACAGAGCTTCGGGGTACACTCGCGTGCTCAGTACTGGATAGTTAAGAGCGATATTGAGGGAGAAGATACTATAGAGTAAGAGCAGTTTAGAAGGATAGTAGAGATAGTAGAATCAAAGTTTCATTACGCTATTTGTATAACTTAAGTTAACATTATATAAAGCAGAGAGTAAAGCACGGTCGTCGCTACAACCCGGAGTCGAACCGAGGACTCCGCTTATAAGGAGACGGCGTATAAGGAGGCAAAAGAGAGAGAGCAAGCCCCGAGCTTCACGCCGCGGCAGCAGAATGAAACTGAAAGCATGCAAGTGACCCGGCCCGGAGTTGAACCGGGGATTCTGCCAGGCAATTGCCAGCAGCGTCGTACCGCTTGACCACCGGGTCTTTTTGTTCTGGGAGACTGGCTGCTTATTTGGACATATAGGGTCACGAAGTGGCAGGCTGGCGGAGGTGGCGGGCTGGCGGAGGTGGCGGACTGGCAGAGTGGCAGAGTAGCAGAGTGGCAGAGTTAGCAGAGTGGCAGAGTTAGCAGAGTGGCAGAGTGGCAGAGTGGCAGGTGTACGGTAGAATCACAGGTGAAGGTTGCCACAGCGCTTCACTGCTGATCTGGGGTGCGTGTATAGCTGAGTGGCCGACTGGCGGAGTGGGCAGAAATCGAAGGATGATTGTACCAGCCGTGGAATTAATGCCAGAATTGAGGGAATATATAGGAAGAAGCAAGAGGCTTCGAGACAGGACTATCAAGGCTGCGGCGAAGCCACATGCAACTTAGCGGACATGGTATAAGCTGTACGAGGTGCATAGGCAGGGTTATATACCTACAGTCAGCCAGTAGAATGTAAGCGGGCCGGGTAAGTTACAGAAGACAGGAGGGGCCGAGAGCACTAGCAGACGATAACCGAGACAGGCATGGGCAGGGATATGAAGTAGGAACAGCAGATTTGACCCGACGCCACGGAGGCGGCCTGGAAACGAGGGGTAATTGCCCGAGTCGTGTAATACTTACTTAAGATAAGCTGTCCAGAGTAGCTAACACAGGAGGCAGAGGTTACAGTATGTACGGAGGTAGGAGAGATAATATGAGCGAGCTGAATTTAAATAGTAATTTAATCAGTTGCAGAATTATAACCTAAAAACAAGCGCTTCGTAGGGTTCGGCAGAGACAGCAGAGACGGCAGAGGCAGTAGAACTGTACTCAGATGACAGGGCTGGCCAAGCAGCGGCTAAGCCATAAATAGCTTGGGAAGGCTTATATTCGCCTGGTAGGCGCAACGGTAGAAAGAGGTCGCCTGTAGCAGCACTATAGAGCAGGAGATACTCAATCTACTTAGTGTGTGGCTTACTTGGTTATGTAGCTTAACTGCTTATGTGGCTTACTTGCTTGTATGTCTTACTTGCTTATAGATTGCGTGGTTGCGGGGTGGGACAGGGGGGCAAGGAGGGGGATACAGTAAAGCTTCGTTGGCTGCAGAGAGAGGGTCCTGGTCCAAACGGCTGTATCTCAGCCCTCTCACAACCTAGGAGCAATCCAGCATGCCGCCGCTTCTCCACCTTACTTACTCTCGTCCCAAGTAACAACTCTTGTCATGGGGGCCGATGGTTCAGTGGCTACGGAGTCATCCGCACATATCGAACGATTACCCGATGAACTCTTACTTCAGATCTTCGCTCACACTCTGCTCACTATCGAGCAGCTGTGCATGGTCAACGCTGATCGCGGTGCGGACTCGCGACAGATAAGCTGGCTTTGCTTAGTTTCGTCTCATTTTCGAACTGTCGCTCAGCCACTCATCTATCAAACACTCCAGTTCACGCAGACTGATCCTCTCTGCGATGGATACCAGTTCAGCTCTAGCCAGGAATTTACCTACCTGCGCCGCCGCCCGGATGAAATCCAGATTGTCCGTCACTTGGTGCTGAAGGGAACACCCTTACCTGTAGCGCGCCTCCTCGAAGCCTTCGAGGACCCGGCGATCCAGTCACAGATTCAGCAGACCTACTCGACCAGCTTCTGTACCTTTCTCGACAGCCTGATCGTCGAAGCGAGAGAAGTCACAACAACCTGGCCCCATAGTGTCGATGTTTCCAGATATCGAGGGCACTATGTACTCTCCTATGACCTCCTCGCCCTCTGGTCACTCACCCTAGCAGACCAGGTCGAGTTTGCATCGTTGCGCGTCGTTGCAGATAGCCACGGTTCACTCCTTGCACGATTCTTCTCCTTCTGTGGACGTGCTCTCGGCACGGCCGATCGAGGCCTGCAGGCACGACTACCTTCTCCCCTCTCGCGTCTCCATACGCTTGAGCTTACTCCTATGGAGAACGATATTGGGACCGTGAGCAATGCTGCAGTCTCGGCATTTCTTTCGTTCCAAGGCCTCGTGAGCTGCTACACGTCGTATCTCAGCTGGGGCAGAGGAAGCTCGGCACCATCTAACCCAGGGGCACCATCCCGACCCTGGCCGATTGCGCCTCATATCCAGCGCCTCGAGCTCAGATCGGCTGCTTTCCCGGGCACGCCGCGAAACCCTAAGAGCAGTAGTCTAGTGATCCGCGATCTCGTCCTGAGGGAACTCGGCTCTGACCTGAGGAGCCTTGTCGTAGACGTGGATCCTGGGGATGCGGATGCGTACGACGAGTATCCCCGCGCTAGGATCGACTTCGGTCCGCTCGGCGAGGCGATCAGGACATACGGGACCGGACTACGCCGCTTCGAGCTCCAGCTATACAAGACAGCGGCCGGCCAGTTTGAGGAACGAGACAGCGGGGTGCTAGGTAACCTACGGGCGGCAAACATCAAACTCGAGTGGCTCAGTGCACCCATGTCGAGGCTGACATACTTTGAGCGCCCTAAGGACGGCGTCGGGGCTTACCCCGGAGATCACGACAAAGCATACATCCCACCAGACTTCGCGGATCTAGGGGACTACCTACCCCCCAGCCTGCGATACTTTTGGACGAGTATCCCTAACCCTCGCTTCTATAACCCAGTACCTCAACATGATCTGAGCCACGACCTAGGTTCATTGCTCGCCAGTGCCGAGGCTAAGCTGCCACAACTTGAGTGGGTGCTCGTCCACGCGCCGTACCCCAACTACCAGCTACGCCAGGGTTACAGGACTTATCAGTACTGGGCAGAGGAGACGATGGGCCCCTTCCACTACCTATATCGTCGACGGCAGGGCCCAGGGTGTCGTAACACGCTAGGGCCTAAGCAGCACCCACCAGAGTGGAAGCAAGCTATCAAGCATGAGATCGCGATGAGCTTCGAATAGCACAACCAACCTGTCATGTAGGACAGGCTCGGACTCAAGTCACGTTTTGGTGAAGATAATTCCAGCGAGGCATCAAGCACTCCTTGATATATAGTATAAAGCCGCCTAGAGAAGCCTTCTTTCCTACTGGTGTCCTGGCCGCAGTAGACCCGTCAGTCTATCACACTTAAGAATATTATATAGGACTACGCGAGCTGTCGTTAGCAAGAGCGGTTAGTGAATCAGGTCTTCGAAGTAGGGATTTACCCACCCCGTGCGCGGAGGCGTCCTGCCCATCATTCCGGGCGGTAGTGCGCTCCAGTACCGGGGGCGGAGCTATAGTCAAGGGCCGTGCGCGGGGCCCCCCTGTGCTGACCTGCGACGCGCTACCTGCGAGGTGAAATTCAGGTACGTGGAGAAGAGGCGAGGTTCAGGTAAGTTTGTAGGGTCCGTGATTTTGATACTTGGCGGAAGCATCTATACTAAGCCGTTAATGAGGCGAAGCCGTCTTTAAGCTTTCGGCGACAGTTTAGACTTCGAAGCTATTATGTGCTATCTATCGGATATTCTCTGCTCCATGACAGGTCTTGGTCCGGATAATCGCCTTGGAGAAGTCCGCCAAGGCGATTATCCGGACCAAGACCTGTCATGGAGCAGAGAATATCCAAATCATTGACACTCTGAAATCTCTTTTCCAAAAGGCGAATTTCCCCAGCGGAGAACTCGCAAGGAAGTTCTCAGCTTCGTATACGATGCAGTCATAGGGTTGACGAGGTGGTGGAGATATTTGGAGTGGTATTGGGAGTGCTTGCTCTGGCGATTTTACCTTCAAAGTTCAGCAATTGACCCTGCAGAAGGCACCGAGAACGGTGTACTAAAAGCAAGATCGGCGCTCGATGGCGCTCGATAGCGTCCCAATAGGTTGCCACAATCTGAATCACTAAGGTACTACTCACGGTGGAGGGTTGGCCGCTAACTATGGTGCGCAAGCACCTTCATTAGACTCTTTGACTCTTTTTATTGGCCCTACGTACGCTAGATTTCCTGCTATAAGTCTGCCATTCTTTGATGCATTGTCATGCGACTTGATCTGAGTGTTGCGATGGGCTCGTACGTACAAGCACGGGTTTCCGTAGCCGTCCCTTGTTCCCAACTCGGTCCGAAGTTGTCAGACAACATGCCCATCAACAATGGCCGCAATATACGGCGTTCAAACTGGCATCCAGCATGGGTACGTCGTATGGTCGCCTGCTGACTTGTGCCATCAAACAAGCCCAGTCCTATGGCAGCTATGGGCTGGATGCGTTGGACGCCTCGCCCTCACGCTGTGGATTCGCCACATCGCTTCGTAAAGGTAGGTTTTCTGTGCGGCGGTTCGTGTAACGGTCGACAAGCTCTGTTGCAATCGCCGAGGGATTGCAGCGACCAAGGAAGTGGCCCCCTTGAGATCGGGGCATACATGTTGGTGTTACTCCTGATCCAGTCACACAGCCTCAAGTACGTTGCACGACACAAGCGATCTTCTACCTGCATGGACAATCGCACATGTGATGTTTTGCTGCATTCTCTCCCACCCACTCATCCGATGCTCATTCAGACCAATTGGCGACTATTATACTCAGGGGAGTGCCAGTTGCACCGCAAATCGGCCGGTGTCGTCTTTTCATTCGCCTAAAGAGCTTGCGGAGGCTGAAGTTCATGATTCGCGCTCGGGAGGTGTGCTTCACAACACAACCACCCACTGCTAGCACTCCATACCCTTCATGGATCTGTCCCCTCAGGCTCTTTCTTGCCCGCTGTGCTGATTTGTCACTGTCGTATGCATCTACGCACCGATATGATGCCACCTTGCATGGACACACACACAGGCGATGCATAGCCCCCCTTTGTGTCTTGTGGATACGGCTGTGGCTGGGGACTGTGGTCGAATCGGATGACTGCAATGTCAGCGAAGCTTCCCTGACGGGCCAGTAGCTCCGGTCGGTGGTCGGGAACGTGGCAGCAGAAATAGGAGTGTGCATTTTCCGATCGCGATTCAGACCGGGATGTAGAAAATGGACAACTGATGGATCGGCATGGCCACCGTCTACACAAATGGAACGGGTGGCTGGCCCGTCAACGATCCCCGTAAGAACGCGATAACACTGCCCTGGACAAATTGCGGAGCACTCCAGAGCCAAGAGGGCGTGACCATCGGCCCGCATGCTCGAACAAAGCATATGGCATCCATGGATGGTAGTACAAGCTGTAAAACTCCTTTTTGACCCCGCCCACCTGCGCAAGCTCCGAGCTGGCCAGCTGCTTTGTCATAATGCGGTAATGGCCGCGTTGACAGTACTAGGCACGTCCTTCACGAAGTTTAAAACGATGCCTAAACCCCGACTCATAAGACCGCATGTCTCTCGGCGCCCGAAAAGAATCACCATGCTTGTTCTTCGTGGTCAACTTCGACCACGTGAGTGTGGCTTCAGGGCTCCAGTGATTTTAGGGCGCTGACTCCTATCGTGCGACGTGAAGACCTGAGGCGTGCAGCCAGCCTCTCCCGCAGATGGAATTCCCTTAGGGCGGGCGACTCAATTCTTGGGGCTCAGAGCGGAGCGAAGCGCGCTTACCAGGAGAGCGGTGAATCAGCGCAAAGGATGCAGCCTTGTCTTGAGGCGCCTCAAAATGTGTAGCTGCGGGACGCTGTGAGGAAGAGTGACGAGAATTCTTTTACTGTGTGTCCTCCAGGCGAAGCTCATTTCTGTATTGAGAGGTCCTTACCATTGCTGCATACGGCCCCTTGTCCGTTGAAGGGGCCGCGAACCACCAATAGGCCGGAGAACAGCATTGCCCCGGAAAAACCTATCAGTGGCCTGGCAAACCTGCAATCGGAGAGGGGTTACCCATGTCCTGCCCCATGGCCGATGAGTGAAGCTGTGTGGATCACGACGACCTGGAGGTCATGGTATGTAGAGGTCGATAGGGTTTTGGTTCCAGCCACAGCAGTCGCAAAGAGGACAACCCAAAACCAATACTCAAGGCTGGAATCGCGAGCTCACAAAAGCGCTGGGTCCGTTGCCGTAGGATAGTCCCCAAGCCCATGCTTGCGCAACTTTGTAGGACTCCGTAGGCTAATCCCTGCTTAAGAAAGGCGGGACACAATCCTGGATCCTCTTTTCCCATTCAATTCCCCATTGCTCCCGAAGCCACAGGCGAATTTTAAGCTGGCGCCGGGTTGTTGTCCCGTTGCGCACAGTAAAGAGTTACCCCGGCAAGTGGCCTTGTCGAGGTGCAAGGGTTTGAGGCGCGAATTAGCGAGCAATCTATGATGTCAACCAGCTGTCTTCAGCTTTTGGCTAACTCGAGACGGGTTGAGCTACAGAGGCCGTGACGGGACAAGAGAGATTGGAACATTATGAGGACTGCTATGAAAACGCAACCCCAAGCAATAATGCAGACCAGGAGAAGATGTGCCTTCAAAGGGCACGACTGCAAGCTCTGCCGAGGCCTCCGCTCTGGCTGGCGTGACGACGGGTGCTGGGGACTGACGGCTCGGAAGCAATAGCCGGCCTGGCGGGGGCCGATCTGCACGCTCGCACGCTTCGAGAAGGGCGAGGCGCATCGCGTGGAAGGAAGACACAAGACGCAGCTGCGATGCAGGCGAGCGAGCCGTCATCAGCATGAATGAGAAAGAGAGCGCTCTGGAGGATGGTCCGTCTGTTTTGAGGAAAGGCGCGCGGGAGCAGAAAGGGAGGCCTGCATGGCCCCTGTTGAAGCGGGTGGCCAGTGCCCTGCCATGCCCTGCCTGCCTGCCACTTTGACCAGCGACGCCTTGATGCCAGGCTTGGCGCTACGTCATATGCACGCTCGACCAGGGGCCCAGCTGGGCTGCTACGCAAGGCACCACTTGCCAGTAGTCAGTCACTCGCAGCCCGCCCACCGCCGCCAGCCCGCCCGCCCCATCGCCATTCAGCCCAGGCCCAGTCTCGTGGCTTGCTGGCTCCCACCACCACGCACCACAAGCCAGTTGCCGTTTCTTTCGCTCTGCTCTACCCAGCCAACACCCGCCGTGACATCCCCACAAGGCCGTCACCACTTTACATCACGTTCGTCTCTGCGCCTCCCGCGACTGCCTGCCCGCCTGCATTCCCGCCCGTCACGAGGTTTCGCCCGTCACTGTCGCTTCGTTTCTTCGCGTTTCCGGCGGTCAGGCCCGTCCTTTCTTCAGCCCAGAGGTCTCCGGCCGGGCCTCGAAACCACTGTCGTCACCGTCCACCCAAACGCCACCGTCGACTCCTGCCTCGACACGGTTGTACCCGCTCCAAACGACCAGTTGAGCGCCCAGCACACGACCACCCACCGCGGAGAACAGCATACACACTTCTTTCATGCCGAGTCACGCAGAGACCGATCACTGCCCTCACATCACAAGTCCCCAACGCTGCTGCTGCATGGGGGCGCGCTTTTGCTAAGGGATGACCGCCCCTACTCAGCCCGACGACTCCAGGTCTCGACCACCAATCCAACATGGCCCAGAGGTCCTTGACAGGCACGAGTATGAAGGGAATCCGGATGCCAGATATGTGGCGGCCAGAGATCCGGCTCGCGTCAGTATAGATGAGAAACGGGAAAGCCCCTTGGCTGGGGACGCCTTGCCACGATCACCAAATCCTCTCAAGCGCCTGAGTGCGCGCCTCAGCAGTAATCTGGTCAGTCTACGCGGCGGCGGTAGCCCGGAAAGGACTGGCACCGCTAGACCCAAGTTGAGTGCCGTCAAGCACGCCTCGTCACTCAAGCAATCACCCGAGCACGGGTCCAAGAAAAAGAACAGGGAGGTGAGCATTTCCCAAAGCTCGCCAGACATTATAGGCAACCCGGTGGTAGCCTATATGGAAGGCCTTACTCGATATCTGTCCCAGCATGAACAGGGCTGGAAGGGCTCGCCTGAGGCCCACGTCACGACAGCACGTGCGCCTGGCGTCTCACCCGTTATCGAGTCGTCGCCTATAACTGCGACGCCTGCGGATGACTTACTGACAACATCGACCCAGTCAAACACAACTGTCAGGGGCGGCATAACGCCTGGTCTCGTGGCTCGAACGCCATCGTACCCGTTTCCCAGGATGAACCCGGCCGGGCTCAAACTTGGCCATGGACCCATGATGGCCAGCCCACAATCGCAAACTCCCCTCCTCCATTCCACTGGAGGTCAGTTTGCCAGCCACTTCTTGCTGCAGGAGCAGCTGCGATCGGATCCTTCCACCCCTGCTTCTGTCATGACCTTCCAGCCCACTGGTCATCCTGAGCCACAGCCAAATTTCGACTACCCGTCCCCAAACCTGTATGACCTATCGTTACTGCTCGCGGCCGAGCCTGGTCTCGATGCTTGGTGGAATACTGTGGTCCAGATCATGACGGAACACTTCAAAGCGGAGCGTGTGACATTGTCAATACCTGCAGACAACACCGATCTAGAGAATGTGCCATGGGGCCAAAAAGCCACATTCAACGCGAGTGAGGAAGATGAGCTCAGCATGGGCTACATGGGTCGATCTAGCTTCGCACCACAGAGCACCGAGGAGGAGCCAGCTTCGACCCCGGATCTGCCGCTGAAGAATGATCGCCCAGTGCGGCCGGACATGTTCAGTCGACATTCTTTTACGTCGTATGAGAAGCAGAAAGGTGCCCAGGATACGCATACAAACTCAGCAGCATCGCCTGCCCCCCAATGCCCGGGGTCCATACTTCGTAGCAAGAGCTTCTACCCCACGACGAATGCCCCACGTCCAGCTTCGCCTCATCCAGCCCTCAACAAGCGCGCTCTGGAGAAACATGACGCCGAAGAAGAGAATCAACCTATGCCTTCATGGGAAGCTCCATTGTTCATGGGCCGAGACATGAGAGGCCGTGTACTTCCTATGCTCCAGGCCCTTGATCTGGAGGCAGATCCTTTGATAGATCATAACGGCATTGCAAGAGTGATTGAGCGAGGTAAAGTGATTGCGCTAACGCGAAGCTACCCGTACTTGAACCCCTTCGAGGATGAAAAGAAGAAGGGCCCACGCACCAGCTGGTCGAACGGCTCGTCGGAGTCGAAAAAGGGCTTGAGGAAGCAAACAACGTCAGATTCAAGCACGCAGCTTTCATCACTCCTCGACAGCGTCACAGCCTCGCAGACCACGGCCAAAGGCAGAAAGCTACCCCAGGAAAGAAGCAAAATTACAGACATTCTCGCTTCCATCGACAGTGGTGCCCCGCGTCCCCCAACGCCGAAGTACGAAGAATTTGAACAAACACCACCATCCCCGTGGTCACAATCTCCTGCACCATCGCCTGCCGTGCGATCCGATCCTTCAGAAAACCCTTTCTTCACAGATGCTGTCATTGATGAGGATTCATTCAATCCTGGCGCGAGTCCACACGATTATACGGCGATCCAAACTCCCGAGGCGATTGGCGTAGACAATTCTTGGACCGTGTTACATGTCCCATTGCACCATATCCTACTCTCCAAGCCTACGAAAGCATTCAAACTCAACTCTGCCGCCCTGGGTCAAAGAAACGCATCGCGACCTGGTGGCGCCAAAGCGCAATCCCCGACGTCCGCCGAGGACACCCAGGATCAGCCCCGTCCACCTGTGGCTATTCTTTCTATTCTGAGCCCTGTTATACCGTATCCATCCAACCTCAGGCATTCCTTGCAGCATCGCGCCCCATTTGGCGACATCGTATTCGCTCTGCAGCCATTACACTATGCTTGAAACCGAAGTGCTTGGGTTGGATCGGAAACGACCTACGACATCCGGCTTTGGCGGTGTGGATCTGGACGGCAGGCCATTACAGAATCCTGCCTCGATACGCAATTTCAGCTATGACGCAATGTCCTCCCAGTACCACTCGCAGCTATCGGCCACAGACAGTATCACTAGCCCCAGTGATTACTCGGCTAGGTCCAGGAGTATTGCGGGCTCACCTGCCACTATCACGCCAAACTGGGAGTCAAAATCTTCCGGCTTTGCAGCAGAACGTCGGACTGCTGGAGTCAGCCCCGGGATGGTGCCCGGCGACAGCTACTTTAATACTCGCCCGCGTCATGCCGGCCCTAGCGATGACACCGCGCAAGAAGATATTGCGTCTCGTGGCAGCCGTCTGGCGAAGGAGACCTCCACCATTGAACATACCCATCGGAGGTCTGGAAGCCTAAGACAGATCCCTCATACCCCGGCAGTTAATGAGCCTGGCCTCGTAGACGCTAATAGAGGTGATGGAGATGAAAAGTCTTCTACCCGGCCGTCATCGAAAAGTTCTGCAGAACCCAATAGCACGCACAGCGAATCGGACCATGCTCCGGATTCTGACGACAAGCTCTTGCGACCTTCTGGTCACACTACTGTCGGCACACCGGGACAGAAACACACGTTGATGCACTCGTACGGGGCAGACTTTGCTGCCACCTTCCAGTCTCTGCCCCCTAGTGCTTCTCTGCTATCTAAGCCGACTACGTCCCACCCGCGCACTCAAACAGGGCCCACGGCGCAGTTCAGTATGCTGCCGCCCTCAGATCGGCTCAAAAGCATCATGCTGGATAGCCTGCCAGTCCATGTCTTTGTAGCACTCCCAGTAACAGGAGAAATAGTTTGGGTCAACAGCAGGTATCTTTTCTACCGAGGCCAGACAATCGGTGATCTTGTGGCCGACCCATGGGCAAGTCTTCACCCTGAAGACAGGGATGACTACATACTGGCCTGGAGCGACTCACTCCGGTCAGGTAGCTCGTTTGAGCGGACAATTCGACTCCGACGTTTCACTGGCGATTACCGATGGCACCAGGCAAGGGCGGTTCCTTTGAGAGACAAGCGCGGCGTACTGGTCCAGTTCATCGGTTCCTACATGGACATTCACGACCAGCATGTTGCAGAGCTCAAAAGTGTGCGTCAAGTTGAAGTCGAGGCCTCGGAAGCGAAGCATCGTTTGCTAGCCAACCTTATCCCTCAGATCATTTTCACCGCGACTGAACAGGAAGGCATCACCTTTGCAAATAACCAGTGGCTCTCATATACTGGACAGACCTCAGAGGCCACCCTTGGACTTGGTTTCATGGACTTCGTGCATCCAGACGACCTCGCCAAGTGCCGCCTACCAAGCATTCGCAATCAGATGTCGTTCTTCCAAACAGATGTATCAAGCCCAGGCTCGAGCCAGACCGCGGGAAAGAGCTCACAATCGGCAGATGAAGATCCCTCAAATCTTTCGCGCAGCAGCACCAGCGACAATACCCTCACACCTGAATTTCAGTCTGGCGATCTTGCCGATCTTGTCAGAAAGGGAATCATCAAAGTAGCGACGGATAGTGATGGTCGCGTGTCATACACAACGGAAGTCCGCCTACGCTCCAAGCCTGGCGACTACAGGTGGCACCTAGTGCGATGCGTGGAGATTGACAATATTGACTTTGGGAACGGCGTCAGCTCATACTTTGGATCAGCAACTGATATCAACGACCACAAACTACTCGAAGCCAAGCTTAAGGAGGCCATGGAGTCTAAAGCGCGTTTCCTCAGCAACATGTCTCACGAGATTCGCACGCCACTGATTGGTATTTCCGGCATGGTGAGCTTTCTCCAGGAGACTACGCTGAATGAAGAGCAGCGGGACTACACAAACACCATACAAACGAGCGCCAAGAGTCTTCTCATAATCATCAACGACATTCTAGACCTCTCCATCGACGCAGGCATGATGAAGCTCAAGTTTGAGTGGTTTCACACTCGCTCTCTCATTGAGGACGTCAACGAGTTGGTGTCCGCCATGGCGATTGCGAAACGGCTTGAGCTCAATTACATTGTGGAAGAGAATGTCCCATCATGGGTGAAGGGAGACAAGGTCCGCATTCGGCAGGTCCTCCTCAATGTCATCGGAAACGCGATCAAATTCACGTCGGAGGGAGAAGTTTTCAGTCGATGTAGGGTGTGCGTCGATGACTCTGCGACCTCGGACGAAGATAGCATCATGCTTGAATTCTCGATAATTGACACAGGACGAGGCTTTACCAAAGAGGAGGCCGACCTCATTTTCAAGCCCTTCAGTCAGATTGATGGGAGCAGCACGCGCCAGCACGGCGGGAGTGGTTTAGGTCTGGTTATCTCTCGACAACTTGTTGAGCTGCACGGTGGCCAGATGAATGGCACAGCTGTTCCGGGGCAAGGCTCGACTTTTACCTTCACCGCTCGGTTCGGCCTGCCAAGTGCAGAAGACCATCCTAACACAATTGGGACTCCTCCAATGCTACCAACCGTCGCAACACCGGCTGCTGATAAGCATGCTCAAGCACTAAGACCCTTTTTACTCCAGCAGACACTGAATGGTTTCAACACTGCCAGTCCTGGATCCGACGTTGGAACGATCTCGCCAGCTCTCAACTCGTCGGCAAGTTCCGACCCTTCAGTGCGGTCATCCGCACGCACGGCACGCTCCAGTGTGTCATCGGTCCATGTAGGACTAGCACACTTTAGCGAAGCTGCAAAGGCGAGTGGGCAGGATTTGTCTCAGATGCGCTTGCAGTTGCCCTTTGAGAAGCCGCGGATTCCAGGTACGCCGATACAAGACGACTCGGAGATACCACCACACTTCAGGCCACCTATGTATTCGATTCTCGTGATTTGCGCTCAGAAGCATTCACGCGAAGCCACAACCAAGCATATAGAGATGACGCTGCCGAAGGACGTGCCGCACCAGATCACGGCTGTGGAAACAAGCGCGGATGCGGAGAAGCTGATTGGCGGGCACGAATCAGTGACCTTCACTCATGTCGTCCTCAATCTCAGTTCCGCTGAAGAAGTCATTGGCGTTGTCGACCGGATTATTGAAAGCTCAGGTGGTCGCACCTCCGTTCTCGTCCTCTCAGACTCTGTCCAAAGACAGTCAGTTCTCAAGCTGGCGTCTGATCCAGCACACCAGCAACTCCTGGACGAGAAGCGTATCACGTTTGTCTACAAGCCTATCAAGCCATCACGTTTCGCGGTCATCTTTGATCCTGCGAATGAACGCGATCTAAGCGTGGACCTCAACAGGTCAAGCGCAGCACAGATGGTGGAGAGCCAGAAGCAAAATTACATTGATGTCGAAAAGAGGATCGGCAACAAGGGCTATAGAGTAATGCTCGTCGAGGACAATCCCGTCAATCAGAAGGTCCTGGTGCGCTACCTCAAGAAAGTTGGAATTGACGCCGAAATTGCTGCGGATGGTGTCGAGTGCACGGAGAAGGTGTTTTCGCATGGCTCGGGATACTACTCTTTAATCTTGGTAAGTCCCCAAACATTCTTCTCCATAAGAAGCGCGTTAGAACACGATATTGACAGTGGTATGTAGTGTGATTTACACATGCCTCGGAAGGACGGTTACCAAGCATGCCGCGAAATGCGAGCTTGGGAAGCAAAGGAGGGCCACTCGAAGCTTCCGATCATTGCACTCTCCGCAAACGTCATGTCCGATGTGCAAGAGAAATGTATCGCAGCCGGGTTCAGTGACTACGTCACGAAGCCGGTCGACTTCGTCGACTTGAGCACTGCCATGTCGAAGTTTATATGAGCTTCTGCCTTTGGTATGATGGGATTGGTGGCATCGCAAGTAGCATGGGAAAGGGCAGCGGCGCGGTCATGGTGGAGCACTTGATCACGGGAGTTGGCTTTGCATTATTTCGGCGTATTGGAGTCATTGGTGCACATGATTAGCAGGTCACCTGTTTCGCATTTTCTTTTTCACAGCCAGGCACGGCGTCATGATCATTTTCCATGGTGGATCATCATCTACCTTACATTTTTCGCTGTACAAACATTCTGGCTTTCAGTTACTGGAGGCTCAACAATAGGCATGGGTGTCGGTCGTCGCAGCATGACACTACGGGAAACGGCATACTTAGACAGTTTTGGTGGTGTGAAAGAGTTCCCAGCGGGGTTTGACATCCTTGAAGGACCGCTTATCAAGCACCTAGTGTCTGATGAACAGCACACTGGGTTCTCTTTCGACATTCGCATAGAGACAAGAGGGGACATCATGAATGGTATTAAGGAGATAGGTATATATAGGTAGGTATGCGAGCGTGTCACAATGGAGAGAGGCGTCGACCACAACATTTTGCTAGAGTGACATGGCTACCAAACGGGCAAGGCGGGGATTTTGTGATCTATGATGTCCCTCTAGCGTAGCTTCACAGGAGGGTGAGGCGAAAAGTCACAGAATTGCGTAAATGGTCGTGGGATGCGTTCATTCGTCTGAGGGGAAAGAACGAAAAGCTAGCCATAGCTAGCTCGACACAGTCATGCTCTTGCTTCGTGTTGACCTCGGAAGATATTTTCTTTGGCAAGAAAAGAGCTACTACTATGTTATGGCCACACACGTAGCTCTTTGATGACAGCAGCAGAACTTTGGAAACTAAAGAACCCATAAAACAATGAAGAAAGGCAGGTAAACGGGATATGACGCCGGCGGGTGCAAGACATGACATGAACCATGATATCGTAGCAGGTCTAGTGTGATCTAGCTGACGAGAGTAAAAGAGACACAAAAAAATAGAGATGATGGCAGGGCAGGAGAATGTAGAGATCCACCTTGCAAGTGAACCTTTGGGGAAAAGCACGAAGCTAGGATAATCCAAACTGGCCCGGCCTAGACACGACGTAGGCGGGGATGGCGCTGCCGTGCGTGGCCTGTAAGTCCCAGACGTACTCGACCTTATTCTGGCGGCGCGCCTCCCCAGTGAGCCCGTCTTCGAAGCTCTGCGGGTTGTCCCAGTCAGCCTCATCAGCCATGTCAACCTCTAGCTGCTGGACGACTAGTCCTCGCATGTGCCGGCCGAGTTCGATAGCGACGTGGCGGTAGTCAGCCACACCTAGCTTGACCCCAATGTGCTCTGTTGTCGCTGCTGCTAGCTTAGTACTAAGCTCCGTCGTTGTCCAGATTCCTTTGCGGCTGTCCTTCCAGAGCCATGCATCGAGTGGCTTAGATAGCCCCTGGGCCTTAGTCTTCGTAAGTAGTAGTCTCTCGAACGGCAGCAGCCATAGAATGTCGGCGACCATCAGTCGTCCAACCGTGTCTGGCAAGAAACGGGCAACCTTTCGGCCGATCCCGCGGATAGCCTTGCCCTTATCGCGGTCCGTTACCAGCATCACCTGGCCGTCGAATACAAAGACATTCCGGAGCATGTCCTGCGTGTCGCAGTGCCGGATCGTTATAATCTCCGGCCCTCTCCCTGGCTGGCCTCCCCGCGTGTGCGTGCTGACAAGTAAGGCCTGGCGGAAGGACTGGAGCTGGCCGAGCCACTGCTGGACCTGTGCCGCACGAAAGGTTCCTGCCTCGTCATCCCAGAGCTGCGTAGCACATGGACCGATTAGCTTGCGGAAGCCGGGCTCGAGCCAGCTGTTCTTCTCGTGCGTGGCGAACGAAGCCCCAGGTCCCTCGAAGCTGAGACTGTCCATGATTCGTCGGAGCACGACGACCTGGCTTAGCGGAATCCACTTCCGAAACATAAGCTGGTCGGCAAGCTCCTCCGTATCTGTGACGAGACTAGCTGCCATTACCCGGAAGTCGTCAAGCGGGATACGCTGGCCAAGATATCGTAGTGCCTCCCTATTGTCCTCCCACATGAGTCGTGGCGTGCCGCCCTCCTTCTTACGGAAGCCTTTTCCGTACGTCATCATCCGGATCATCGCGCTAAATGGTGAGAAAGAGCCGTCGGCGAGCCACTCGCGATGCTGTGCCCGGAAGTGCTCGATAGCTCCCAGGCAAAGATCCTCATCGTCGCCCTCGGCTGCGAAGATATGCTCTAGTAGTAGAAGGCGGGCACACCAGACGAGCCGCGCGATTTGCCCAGTATATTCCGCCGCCGGCCGCCAGGCATAACTCTTCCGGGTACCACTAATTCCTAGTACGGCCGTGAAGTGTAGGAGCGGGTTGTTGAATAACTGGATAGCAATCTTCTGCTGGAGCGACCTGACGCAGAAAGCCATTACGACCTGGTCTATTGGGTCCGTAATCTGGTCGTCTTCTTCGTCCACCTCGGCCCCTAGAATAGCTGGCTCTTTAGACCTAACACAAGTTGACGAGGCTGGAGAGGTGCTGGCGTCCTGGTCGCTGTCGAAGCTAGTATCAAGTCGCTGGATAATATCCTCTAGTGCAGCCCACTGGGAATCGTCGAACCGGATCCGGAACTTCTCCGTCGCTACCTCTCGACCGAGTCGCCCTACCCGGACGCAGTAGTAAAGGTAGCGCTTCCAGTAGGCCTGGTATCGATCCTTCGTATCCTGGCCCTTCTCCGTCTTGAAAGGGGCAGCTGCTGGGCGGCTAGCATCTGTGCTAGCGAGGTATCGGAGTACTTAGTTCGGTACTCGACTTGTTCGCTCTAGGCCTTTCGTGATCTGCCTGTCGAAGCTAGCCCCGAGTCGGATCAGACGCTGTTGCTCGGCAAGCTCTGCCTCAGACCGTAGCTTAGCACGTTCCGTAGTAGTAAGGGCATTCCGGCCGGCTCGGAAGTGCTCGCTCATGTCGCTGCCGGCTAGGTGCCTTGCCCAGCCCATCTCGCGGACCCAGGTCGACTCGAAGGTAGGTCCCTGCCGGCTATCAACCGTCCGCCGTGTCTCCTCTAGCTCGGCCGCTAGGCTTTCTTCGTATCTTGCGAGGCGTTCGTCTATATGTACTGCGAGGAAGCAGAAGTAGGGCCGGATACGCCGGGACTGGCCGTTCTGGCAGGTCCTTGCTCGACTGCCCAGTACCGCGCATGGCTCCCCAGCGATAGAGTCTGGAGCCGTACCTCGCTCCAGCCGCCGTTACTACCACGGCCGCCCGTCACCTGGGCGTGTCCCGCTCGCGAGCGGTGGACCTTGATTAGCTTCGGGCTCGTCGTTAGGAAACGGCAGTCCGAGCAGCTGAAGCCGTCTACGACCGGTAGCTGCTCTATATGTGGCGATCCGTCGGCTGGCAGTGGCACAGTATACGGGTTCGCGATTGGCTCCGCGGCGTGGCTGTAGTCGACAATCTGGCCGAGTGCCTCGCCCTCGAGACGGTGCGTCCGCCAGAAGTGTAGTCGTATGCCGTCGTCCGGCCGGATCGCGACCCTGCACGAGACGCAGAGGAGGACGCGATGCTCTTGGCTACTACCGGCGTCAGCCGCAGGCCAGCTCAGCAGTCCGACCTGCCCCCCGGTGCGACCAGCGTCAGCCTCGAAGTGTATCGCCATCGCCAGATAGTCCTTTGATCACAACTGGACTGTCAGATTGAAGGGTTAGATAGTGTATGTATGAGGTGTATTTTCTATTCTACGCGTAATAACTAGCAATTCTGACGGCTTCTCGCCGTACAGGTTGCGAGACCGGCCGCGGTATATATCATGGGTCATTTAATGAGAGGGGAGGAGACACGGCACAGCGCAGGGTTGGCTGAGGGTTAAGGTTGGGGTTCAGACACGACTAGGGGTCCAGCCGCGCCCCGGACCCCCTGTGGTAATGACCGTCATGGTAATGACCGTCACTCGACCCGACAGGGGTTTACCCAACCCAACCCACCCTTGACTATGGGCTTACCCCAACTTGCCCCTGGTAGTGACAGTCACTACCGGCCTGAATGATGGACAGCGTGAAGGTATGAGCACCCTGGCCAACGTCCTGAAGAAGGCCTCAGAGCATGCCGACGCCACCTGGTTCCCCGCTGCCAAGCTCTACGAGGACATGCTGCCACTGTCCTTTCAGGTCCAGAGAGCCTCCAACACGGCCAAGAGCTCCATCACGCGGCTGACGGGCGTCGAGACCGAGGCCTGGGATGACAGCGAGAAGACGCTCGACGAACTGATCGCCCGGTGCGAGAAGACCGTCAGCTTGCTCAAGGGCGTCGACGCCAAGCTGGTTGAAGGCAGGGAAACCGCCAAGGTGGAGCTGAGCTTGGGGCCAGCGGGCACGAGGCAGCTCACAGGCAAGGAGTACATCTTGGCCTTCGTCCTCCCAAACTTCTTCTTCCATCTCCAACGGCGTATGCCATCCTGCGCATGAAGAGTGTTCCGTTGGGTAAGGGGACTTCTTGGGGCCGTTCATGGAGCCAGATGCTTGAGGTGGGTGGGGCTGGCCACGTACAAGGGGTTAGGAAGAGTCTCGAGAACGATGCCCCGTATATCTCCACTGCCGTATACGAATAAACTACGGAGTACAGAAGCATACTTCGTTGGAGTTCTTGGGTGCCTGACAAGGATGCAGGGATGTGGCGTTTTGCGCTTGAGCCATCTGTACTCTCACCTTAACCATCTCACGAATTATTGGTTGCCTTTGATGGTCGAGTAACTGGGATATAGAATGTGGTACTGTACGGAGGGCGCTTTCAAAAGTTTGGTCCTAAAAATCAGCCACAGTTTTCAAGCAGCCAATCAAAATGAAGCAAGATACAATAAGTACCTCGCCCTTCTTAAGTCCCCTATAAGCCCATGACCTACAGTGGATATGCAGTCGCTAGTAAATTAGCTATAGTGCCCATACCCCTTAGAGCTATAGGGACTTTAGCAGATGTACTAACTAGGCTAGCAAGACCTCTATGTATCTTCATGTAGCTGACAGGGTGTGGCGTCATTATCGTGGGACAAAACTTTTGAAATCGACCTCCGTAATGATGATACAACTAGTAACCTTGGTAGAATTAGCTGATTTAGCCGTGACTAGGGTCTCGTTATTACGGCACCCGTGCTCATCTCCTCCGCTTAGAGCAACACTTTCTATGATTAATAATTCAAGTGTTAGTTAACTTGACGATGACAAATTAGGGGTTCTTATTGACCAGGGGCGCCGGCTTGAATACATGCTTTTAAATTACGAGCCGAGTGTCCCGGTCTTGCAATGCTCATAAGAGCTGCACGAACATACTGAGCCGCATTTGGTGAAAGGTCAACATCTTATCCTCATCTCTTCAATATAATGCTTTCCTCAGGTTTCATTCTACTCCCCGCCTTGTTGGCATCCGTCATGGCATCCGTCACGGCATCCCCAGTTCTGACCGCAGAGAATGGACATCACTCTGATCAAGTCAATGCACGCACTCTCTATCAATTTGAAAATGGCACCCGGATCGAGAATATCGCTGTGCGTAAGAACGGGAATCTTCTCGTTACCTTATCCGATCGGCCCGAGCTGTACGAAATTGACCCATTCAATCCGGCCTCTCCGAAGCTCATACACCACTTCGCTGGCTATTCGGGCCTGGGTGGTATCACCGAAACTGCACCAGACCATTTTACGGTGAACGCGGGGAACATCACTTTTGAACCATTCCGTGCCGTTCCGTAATCATTCTCAGTGTGGAAGTTAGACTTCAACAACTGTGGAGGTAGAGCCAAGGTTTCCAAAGTTACCGACATGCCTGACGCTCTGTACCTCAACGGCATGACAACTCTGGATTCTCGGGCTGGCACTATCCTCACGGGCGATTGCGCCAGTGGTCGCGTCTTCCGTGTTGATACGCGGACTGGAGACTATACTGTGGCACTCGACGACGAACTGTTGCAGCCTCCGCCGAACGCCATATTGCCTGTCGGCGCCAACGGCATAAGGTTGATCGGGCACTATCTGTACTTTACGAATACTTTTAAAGCGCTTTACGGCCGCGTTCCCGTGGACCTAGTTACCGGGAAAGCGAAGGGGCCGTACGAAGTACTAGCTGCAAACATTATCTCCGACGATCTTGCTGTTCGGTCAGGAGTCGGATACCTTGCGGGCAGCCAAGGGAACGTCATCTATGAAGTTCAATCTCACGGAGACAGAAAGGTTATCGCTGGTAACTTGAATTCGACCGTGGTCCCTAGTTCTACCTCAGCTGCGTTCGGAAGAACTAGGAAGGATAAGAATACTCTATACGTCGTTACCAGTGGAACGGAGGCAGCCCCTGTTAGTGGAATGTATATTGAACCGGGGAAGGTGGTGGCTCTGGATGTACATAGCTTCAACTGTTAAAATCTGATGAATTGTGGGCGTATAAGGGTTAAGTGGCAACAATCCTATCGCGTACAATCATTCCCACCTGCCTCAAGGCATAGTCCTTTCGTTCCTCAAGGCGCTTTCGTTCCTCAAGGCAAGGTATTAGTGGGAGAAGTTGAAAGCTGGCTGTTGGCGGAGGCTTGATACAAATCACGTGAACTAAAATCGGCGAAAACTGGTATGATACGAGCTCGGCCTTTGAACTCTGCACTTAAGCGATCAAAGGGAACAGACAAAAGAAGCTCCCCTTACCAACTCAGATTTCTCACATATCCAACCCGCGGTTCTCGTAGGTATCAGCATAGATCGCTAGACTCTTTCCAATTGTGACAGTGATCGGCCATGCCGAACTATTGCTGAACACCCTCGACCAGATTCGCAGAACGGCAAGCCCCATGTGGAATGCATCTTCTAGCCACAAACTCGTATTTATATCTCCCCAATCGGCCGAAGATACGGCTTCAGTTAATACTTGTCGTAGGCAGTGTAGTACATATTCCTCAGATCCTGAAGGTTAACAGTTAGTCAGATCATCTTGAGAGGTATCGTTTCAGATATCTCGGGCTGAAGTATACAGTGATTGTTTGCTTGACTCACGATTCATAGTTTGCACTGCCTTTGCTGCAGAGATTGCATACAGCCATTTACTAAGAAAAACCGCGCACTCGAGACTACCAAGTGAATGCTGACAACACCAGAATATCGCTTGAGTATGCACCACATACTCGATGCCAATTGCAACCGGTATGCTGAGCGCATGGATCGAGTATAGAAGCGCGGAAACTGCGCTCTTGGTCTGCTGTATTTGTGGAGAGGGGACCTTTGCTAAAGCTGCGGCAACCTGGGCCGGAAGTTTGTATGCTAGACCTCGGTAAGGCCCAATGTCCAAATGCACTCGGACGTGAGCGAGACCGAGAAGGGCAACAGATGTGAAAGCGATGGGGCCGTTCTCATCTCGTGGGTTGAGACTGGACTCGGACGTTCGTTGCCAGGTCGTGGCCCAATTTGAAAGGGCTTTACTGTTGATGAATGAGGCCGTTAGCTCATCCTAAGTGAATTCAATAGCTGCTGTCACTCAAGAATTGCTTACTGCAGAATGATGATGTCTTCTTCTCGAAGAATCGGTGTAACCGCAATCTGTCGGATTAGGTAAATGCGCTGAAGAAGCCCATGAAGAAGCACGTAGTTTCCAAGAGGCGAGGGCGCAGGCTGCATCTGCGGTGTTTGTCCATCCGAACTCAAGAGCGCTTTCAGTGATTCGGGGAAACGTCTCTGCTCGTTTACTACCTCTTGTCGAGCAAGAAGCCACTGAAACTCCTCCATTGCATGCCATTCTCTTACTGTACAGGGAAGCTTCAGGTCAACCTCGTGCCAGAAGAGAACTGGCGGGTGATCGTATGCGATTGTATGCAAATTCAAAAAGCAAAAGGCCATGGCCTTAATCCGAATGCGGGTTTCTGACAGTGCCCACAAAGACCAGTCCTGATTCGACATCTCATCTTCGTCGGTCAGACCGTCCTCTCGCAGACAGAACATAAGAGGACGATGAAGTTCGAATGCTTCGTCAACGAGTTCGGCATTTGCCGACCAAGTGGCGAGCACAATTAGCGTGAGGAGAGCGCTGGCAGACTGAATGATGGTTTCTGACTGATCAAGCCCGGGCGTAGGTTTTGCTTCTTTATTTCTCAAGCGGGTAAGGCGTATTCGCTCGAGAGCAATGGTTTTACCAGCATGAAAGAGCAGCAAGGACGTGCGTGTTTCGTATCGTTGTTGGGCACCCAGAGCAGCAAGAGCCAGCACTAATTCCGGAATACAATCATTCAGACATAATGTTGGTATGTGAATGTACGGTAGATGACTTGCCAATGTTTCCTCCCATGCGGACAGACATTTCGTGAATGTGTGGCATGAGGGGAGACTGATGTCGGCCAAGCTATCTTTGAACTGCTGAAGTTTCCTTTGTAGGTTTCCGAGACGGTCTTCCGTCATTATAAGCGGAGATGTGTTCGGATTTTGACGGACAAATTGAACTGATCAGTCTCATTCAGAGGTTAGAGATCCTTTCTACGTTGCTGTGGGTAAACAGGGAAGGAGCTAGGGCAAGAACGGTTCCTCACCTTGGTTGAAACCCATGCCTGTAGCATGACCAACAAGGCGGGACGTGAACGGCATCGGGCCATCTGATCTCTTCTCTGCAACTGGAGCCATACTGACCTGTAGATCGTCGTGTCCCGGAGGCACGTCCTCTTGCCGAATGGCCTCCGCGGCAGGTTCAAAGAGA